GGGGGTCCGCCCGGAGGTGGGGGTGAGCTCTTGTCGTCAGCAACCGTGTCACTGCCGCGGTCGTCCGCAGCGCGACAGTGATCCCGGTGTCCATGACAACCACTAATGGCTGTCATTCATGATTAGCATCCGGTCGGACACGTTGCCGTTAGTAACAGCTGCTGTCCTCATTCCGATTACTGCCCTCGAGTCTTGTCATTATTACCATCTGGTTCCACTGGTTTCCAATAGGGCTGTGCGAAATTTCGCCCCCCGTTGTTTCGAGCTGTTTCAAGGTCGAAACAGCAAAATCGAAACGGAACAGATACGGTCGAAACAGCCTCGAAACGAAATGAGGCAAGTCAAAACGTTTCACCATTGTTTTGCCCATAGGATATCATGGGAAAGGTCAAAACAGCCTGTAACGTTGTCATTTATGGCCAGATTTGGATAAAACGTGCAGGAATGGTAGCCCCTTTTGAGGGCATGACGCGTGCCACGTTGCAAGGTGATCAGTGCAGGGGCTTTGGAAAAACTGCACCCCAAAGTCTTGAGAGCCAAACTTGTGTCATGTGTGCATGTTAAGCTGCGGCAGGATGACAGCTGCAGGGATGGTGGCCCCTGCTGCGGCCACGACTTCTGAATCACTTGGGAAAAGCTTTGGAGCCGTTTTGGAGATCCAGCCATGGGGTATAATGGAGAATCAATGAACTATCTATAACTTTGTTGTTTTTTGTCTGATTTGGATGAAACTTGAAGGGGTGGTAGCCTCTGCTGAGAGCATGAAGCCTGCCAAGTTTTAAGAGGATCAGTGCAGGGGTTCGGGGGCAACTGCACCCTAAATTCTTGAAAGCAAAACTCATGCCACGTGTATGTGTTACAACACAGGGGGGTCAAAACTGCAGGGGTGGCAGCTGCTGCTGAGGCCACAAAGCCTGCCAAGTTTCAAGGCGATAGGTGCAGGGGTTTGGGGGGAACTGCACCTCAAGCTGCTGACAGACAAAACTCATGACATAGATGACCGTGTGTGTTAAGGCGCAGCGGGCTGAAAACTGCAGGGGTGGTGGCCCCTGCTCAGGCCACAAAGCCTGCCAGCTGTTAAGGAGATAGGTGCAGGGGGAGTCTGGCTTCTGGGGCCCTGCACCTCTAGCTGCCAACAGACAAAACTCGTGACATGGGTGCTCGTGCAACTCACTGTCTCTGTCTTGGGGCAGCTGATTGTCTGTATTGATTCTTTCCTCTCAGTCTGTGGTTTTGTAGGTGTTAATCTGTGCTCCTTAAATTATTATGTATTAGCTAGGTACTGTGTATTGAGCTGGTCCCTGAGTAAATCATGATTAATTGGTAATTGGCAACACAGTAGCTTGGCAGCCAGGCCTACAGTAGTCCCCCCATGCCCACCCCACCCCCATGCCCCAAGACAGACACAGTTGCACAAGCACCCATATTATGAGTTTTGCTTGTCTTCAGCTTGAGGTGCAGTTTCCTCCAAACCCCTGCACTTATTTCCTTGAAACCTGGTAGGCTTCGTGGCCTCAGCAGGGGCCACCACCCGTGCAGTTTTCAGCCCACTGTGCCTTAACACACACAGGGTCATCTATGTCACAAGTTTTGCCTGTCAGCAGCTTGAGGTGCAGTTCCCCCCCAAACCCCTGCACCTATCGCCGTGAAACTTGGCAGGCTTTGTGGCCTCACCAGGGGATACCATCCCAGCAGTTTTGACTCCACTGTGGCTCAACACATACACGTGACATGAGTTTTGCTCTCAAGAGTTTGGGGTGCAGTTTCTCCAAACCCCTGCACCTATCTTCTTGAAATGTGGCACGCATCATGCCCTCAGAAGTGGCTACCATTTCTGCAAGTTTCATCCAAATCTGGCTAGAAATGACAAAGTTATAGCCTGTTTTGACTTTCCCCATTACATCCTATGGGTGAAACATCAAAACAGGGTCGAAACAGCAAAATGTTTTGACAGAACGAAACAGAACAGCCGTTTCAACTCGAAACAGAAGTCAAAACAAAACACTGTTCTGTCGAAATGTTGAAACGCTGGTCGAAACGAAACGCTTCTGTTTTGCACAGCCCTAATTTCCAATATTATTATTATTACTGATGATCGCAATTGTGATCACTGTTACTATCCTTATTGCTACAATCAATTACGACTTATTTCCAATATATTATTAACAATTATCTATTATAAACATGATCACTGGGGAGGAACAATACGCACCACACATACAGGCTGGGGAACTCCCCTCTTGTCAGCACGGAGGTGGAAAAGGATCTGGGAGTCATTATTGACTCCAGGATGAACATGAGTTGGCAATGTGGGGAGGCAGCTAGGAAGGCCAACTGCACCTTGTCGTGCATCCACAGATGCATCTCAAGCAGGTCC